TATAGGCATTAAGTGCTACAAAAAGTATTTGTTGAAATTCAAAAATTAAATAAAAATTTCTTACCAAGATTTTCTAAAAAAAAAGAAAGATTTCAAAAACAGTTCCATTTGTTTATTTTTAAAAAATTTTTTTTAAGCAAGGTGGGAGTGCCACTAGTGTGTAAGGGGGTGACAAAGAGTGAAGGTAAGAGAAAAGATTGAGTATAGGGGAGGATTAAAGAAAGGGTAAAAAGAAGAATGGGGATCAAAGTATCAGAAGATGACAATTGATGTTACATTTAAATTTTTGAAGATTGTAGTTATTGGGAAAGCAAGTATGGGGAAGGGATTTGCACTTTTGGGAAGTGTGAAAGAAGAAGTTGTTGGAATAGAAGAAGTGGTTACATTTAACTGTTTTGACAGTAAAATGGTGGGACCTAGATGCCAACCTAGTAGCATATTCAGCAGTCAGAGAACCAGGAAAAAAAGCTCATCTGAGTAGATGAAAATATTTGTAGAAAAGACAGAGGGAAGCCACATCACGTCTGTGAGAAAGTTACTAAGTCGAGGTTCCAAGTCAGGACCGATTGCATTATAGATCTGTCTTTGGATTTTGTCAAGAACCTCAAGATGAGCAGCAGGGACACCAGACCAGATATGGAAACAGTATACAGTGCATTAACGAATGGTAGATTTGTACATGTGTAGGATGGACTTGGATGAGAAAAACCTTCTTGCACGATACAGAGAACCAAATTTCCTTGCGGTAGAAGCAGCTATTGATTCAATGTAGTTGTTCCACCTCAGATCAGTGGAAAACGTGAGGCCAAGAAGATGCATTGAGACATTCTCATGAAGTCGAGTATCAACCATGCTGATATGAGGCAGGGAAGTTTATCTATGGTGATTAAGTGAGAGCAGTTTCATTTTGGAGGCATTAAAATTTACAAGCCATTTCCTGCCCCAATCAACAACTGATTGGAGGTCCTTTTTGAGACCAACGGCCAGAGTAACTTTGTCATTGAAACAGGAGTAAATGGTAGTGTCATCTGCATAGATTCCTACTTGAGAACTGATGACATCAGGAAGATCATTGATGAAGATCAGAAACAGTGTAGGACCCAGGATAGAGCCCTTGGGAAGACCAGGGTTCATATGAAAGAAACTGGAAGAGAGCTCATTCAGGACTACCTTCATTTCCCGATTTGATAGAAATGATTGGATTAAATCATAAAATCGTTTAGTACTACCATTTGCCCAGAATCTTATGTATCAGGTCATCCCATAAGTTCTGTCCGAATTTTGAATAAAGAAAACAAGTGACCAAATGTTACATTTAATTACAGATTCAATCGAAAATGTATTTTCCCTGATTATCTATGACTTCCTTCCATCTATTAACAAGCTTACTAATTCCATTACTGTAAAATTCTTTTGGCTTTGATTCGAAGAACTCACAAATGTCAGTTTTAACCTCTTCCTCTGTTACAAAAGCTGTTTCTTTCAAATGATTCTGTAACCTATGAAACAAATGGTAGTCTGAAGGAGCAAGATCGGGAGAATAATGTGGGTGAGGAATTTTCTCCCAACCAAGTTCTTCGATCTTTTGTGACGTGATTTTTGTTGTGTGGGGTTGCGCATTGTCCTGATGAAACATCACCTCTTTTCAATTCACTAGAGCAGGTCTTATTTCCTCAAAGCTTGGTTCAAACACTCTAATTGCTGACAGTATATTTGAGCATTAATTGTTGCATTAGGTGGTAAGAATTCAAAGTGGATTATTCCTTGGCGATCCCACCAGATTGAAAGAAGAGCCTTTTGCCCATGAAGTTCCCTTCTCGGCTGTGGCTGGGGTCCTTACCCTTTACCAGGCCACTGTCTACGATGCTTAACATTTTGATAAAAGATCCATTTTTCGTCGCCAGTCACAAGTCTATCCCAAAAAGGTGAAACAAGTTGGCGAGAAAGGAGAGAAGAGCAGATGTCAACTCAGGATTTGAGGTTGTTTTCAGACAATTCATGAGGCACCCATTTTCCAAGTTTAGGAACTTTTCCAAGTTGTTGAAGATGATGATGAACAGTTGTATGGTTTGAACTGAGAACCACTGCCAATTCTTCAACTGATAAAGCAGGATTTTCTTCAAGGGCTGTTTCAAGAAACTTTTCATCAAACTCAAATGGACGTCCGGTTCGATCTTCATCTTCAAGGGTGAAATCTCCACCTCTGAATTTTGCAAACCATCTTCTGCAAGTTCTTTCATTCACACATTCCTCTCCATAAACTGAGTGAATGTTTCTAGCCGCTTTGGCTGCTGAGTTTCCTTTCTTGAACTCATAAAGCATTATGTGCCTCAAATGATTCTTGGGTACTTCCATGTTAGCTGGGTTTTAATCAAACAAAATTTAATTTTATTGTTCTCTGAAATAAAATTTGATCAGTTTAAATGCATCTAAATATAAAAATAATGTTCAGCTTCATTAGACATAATAAAATACTCTTTAAATTTTGTTCATTTTAACAAAAAGTTAAAATTCGGACAGAACTTATGGGATGACCTGATAGAAGGTCAGCATAGCAAACCCTGTCAAATTCCTTAGAGATATCTAGAGCCACAGCTTGAGCTTCACTGTTAGTATCAAGAGCTTGGTATACATATTCAATTATGGCCGTAAGGACATCAGCACTAGACTGGCTAAAGTGGAAACCATAAATCTTTTAAATTTCATTAAAATCCAACCATCTGATGCTTGCAAGTATTTACAAATCAATGTGTTTTTACCACTAAAATTTTCTACATTAATTTATGAGTCATATTGATGCTAGAAAAACAAATTTTTAACCAAATTTTCAAAGGTTCTAAAAAGGATTAAAAAACAATTTTTATATAAAAATATTGTCTTTTCCTTTTAATAATAACATTTTGATGATAAAATGTTGTGTTTATTAAGTTTAGAGCATTGTTTCATCATGTATGCACATTTTTTAGAAAATCTTTAGAGTACCTAGATCATTTTTTAAAATGAATCAAAACTTTATTCTAACAAAAATTTAAATGTTAATTTGCTTTTTTTACATAACAATTTTTTAAATAATTTTAAATATTCAAAATTAAATTTTAAAGCACTGGAATCGATAAATGGATGAAAATGTTACTGTTTTTAATCACACAAAAATAAACTTTGCCAATTGCTCTTTTTCTCTCCAAGTAACAATAGTATAAATATCAAGAAGAAATTCTGGTAGTGGTCACATGACCGAATACAGTTATGTGACATTATTAAGGAATAATGCTACAAAACCAGAATCAGCAATAAAAAAAAAAACTTGCAAATTGACTAAATAACCATTTTTCATCTAAATCTTTCTGATTCTCTGAGGAAAGCTGTAAGTCCTTTGAATAGGCAAGTCTTTGATCTTAGCCACAAAGGGCAATAAAACATTAGTGCTTTAGTGTAATATCTGAGGAAGGTGAGTCAAAATGTTCCAGCCAAGTTGTGAAATTTTTATCACCAAATAAACATGTCGTCTAACATTATCCTGATGTAATAGTAATGTTTTTTTTCGTTAATTAATTCTGGATACTTTTCATCAATTGTTGCCTTTGATTGGTCTAATTAGGAGCAATAATTGTTTGAATCCATTCTTTCATTCTCTGGAAGGATCTCATCATAGAGAATTCCCTTCCAATCATACCATATTCATAGTATCTCCTATTCTGGATGAAGAATGGCGCTTTAGGTACAATTAGTCATGGTTCATTTTTCATTCCCCTCTATTTCCCTTTCCCTCATTCCCTTATTAAGAAGGATGTTCCACTTGAGTAACTCCTTAAGAACTGCTGCTCTGCGGAATAATAAAGTCCTGGATGGATGTTTTCCCGATCACTACAATCTCAATCTCTTAAAGTATCGGGTTAACTATTATCTATCCTACATATCCTCATAATATACACCTCTTACTGCTTCTTTGCTTGCCTTTAAAACAAGGTCAGTCACTAACTCTCTACCTTGAGTGGCACTTGAGCCTTATATTGAATAAACAATAGTATAAATATATACATAAAAAAAACAACCCTGCAAGTTACCTTCTGAAGATTTACCACTGTTCATCTGGTTAACTCAGTAACCTGGTAATATATATTTGTGATTTAATACTGGAAAATTTATGTAAAAGTATTGTTAGAAAATATAAATCCGGAAGAAAAAAATATTACTTTTCACACACACACACACACACACACTCACCACCACCACCACCACCTCACACACACACACACACACCACCACCACCACACACACACACACACACACACACACACACACACACCACCACCACACACACACTCACTCTCACACACACACACACACACACTCACTCACACACACACACACACACACACACACACACACACAGACACACACACACACGCACAGAGCAACATTCTAGCAGCATATATTTATAGTACTGTTGTTGTTAACATTTTAGACATCCTGTAGAGTATAGCCTTTCAAAGCTAGGTGTTGCTACTGTGATTTCAGTAATAAGTAGGTCTTTGTATGATGTTCCTAGCCCTACACCCAACCAGCTTTGAATTTTGCTTCATCTTCCCACTAGACTGGCTGTCAACCAAGGCTAGAGAGCCTATTCTACCCTATTGTTTAACCCATAGCCTGGAGAAGAAGAGATGGACTTTGTATGAGAGGGAAATGAAAAACCCTTAGCTGGAATTTGAATTCAGCACACTGATCCCACTCTCTGCACTTATAACTGCTATGCTATATGCATATCTCATTTATAATGCTATGATGCTATAAATCTTAAAGATCTTATTCACATTCAATAGAAGAAAATTTGGTCCAAAATGTGGCTATTAAATTCTGAGCCAATTTTTAAAAAAATCAAGTAACGTCTTTATTCTGTGAGCAATTATCCTTACCCCTTGGTTATTTCAAAATTATTAAAGCAAAAAATTATTATTCCAGTAATGATCATCTGCAGAGATAAAAACAATCATTGTATAATGATCTTCTTCTTCTTCTTCTTCTTCTTCTTCTTCTTCTTCTTCTTCTTCTTCTTCAGCGTCTTCTGCTTTTCTTCATCACAGTTTTCTTCCTTCACTCCTTCTTCCTCCTTTTCTGCTTCTTTTTTCCTCCGCTTCTGTTTCATTTTTCTCCTCCTCCTCCTCCTGCTCCACCTCCTCTCCTCCTCTCTTTCTTCTTCTTCCTCCTCCTCTTCTTCTTTCTCCACCTGCTTTTTTCTTCCTCCTCCTCCTTTTTCTTTATCCTCCTCCTCTTTTTCTTTTGCCTCCTCTTCATCATCATTTTTGAGTGCCTCTCCTTCTTTTTCCTCCTCCTCCTCCTCTTCTTTTTCTTCTTTCTCCACCTCCTCTTTCTTCTTCTTCCTCCTCCTCCCTTTCTTTTTTTACTTCCCTCTCCTATTCTTCTTCCTCATTGTCTTCTTCTTCTTCTACTCCTTCCTTCTCCTATTCTTCTTTTTCCTCCTCACCATATTCTGCTTCTTCCTCCTCCTCCTACTCTACTTCCTCTCATTTTTCATCTTCTTATCTTTCTTTTTTTCCACTCTCTCACATCTTCTTTCTCATTTTTTTTTCCACCACCACCTCCTCCTCTTCTTTTATTATAACAGCAACAACATTGATTCCTGTAATCATTCAAGCAGAAAAGTGCATACATAAATAAATATATAAAAGTGCATACATAAATAAATATATAAAAGTGCATACATAAATTTAGTAAACATCTGTCACACACAATCTTCATTGTTTCATTTTGTCAACACAAAAAAAAACAACATAAGTATGTCAAATTTTCGCCATATGAATGATTTTGCGTACTCAGTTATTTCATTAGGAATTGTTTATTGTGGTTCATCTGGAAAAGTTTTTATCTGTTGATAAATTTGCAACCCTCAGCATCCTCATCAGGCTTTTCTTACTCCTGTGTCCTATCACACAGTTGTCAACAATGGCATTGTTTTTTTTATTATTAGTGATAATGTCATAAGGATTAGTGCATTAGCATGGGGTAATGGTTAATGAGGCTAGTTTGATTGGCCATTAATACTGAATAGTGAGTTCAATCCTCACTGGGCATCTCATAAAAAATTCAACATTAAATAACCTAACAATGGTTGACAGCCTAAAATCATTTCCAGTGCATTTTCATTATAAAATCATTGTCAGTGAATTTTATAGCAAAATTATTTGCAATGCATTTTCATAGTGCATAAAATCATTGCAATGTATTTTTATGGTGAAATCATTGGCAAATAATTTTATAGCAAAATTCATTTTCAAAGTAAAACCATTTCCAATGCATCTTCATAATAAAATCCCTTTCCAATGCATTTTCATAGTAAAATCAGTTCTAATGCATTTTCATACTCAAATCATTTCCAATGCATTTTCATCGTAAAATCATTTCCAGTGCATTTTCATAGTAAAATCATTTCTAATGCATTTTCATACTAAAATCATTTTGAATGCATTTTCATAGTAAAATCACTTTCCAATGCATTTTTATAGTAAAATCACTTTCCAATGCATCTTCATAATAAAATCCCTTTTCAATGCATTTTCATACTCAAATCATTTCCAATGCATTTTTATAGTAAAATCATTTCCAAGTCTTTGTATGTGGTAATCATTATGAGGTTAGTCTGGGTGACATTTAATACTGTTTGATCCTCACTGAGTGGCCCATATCTGTGGCCTTGTGTCAAAAATGAATCTAAACAGTAAGAAATAATTAAAGATATTTTCATACTGACTATAGTTTGGCCAACAAGTTGCAAAAGGGTTTCTGTTTTAGAGGCCTTCTCTTGGCTGCTCTCAGACTCAGGGTTAGCAGCAAGTATTACTCATAGCAGGATTCCAATATTTTGGAGTTGTCCTTCTGCTAGACTTAAAATTTAAATTAAATTTTTAAGTTAAATTTCAAGAGCTACTATTTTACCCATAGCTGGTGGAAGAAGTGATGGAATCATGCCTTTCCCAAGGGCATTAGTGTTTAGCATTGGGGTTAAGCTTTCTACCTTTGACAACATTCAAACTCTTTTGTGCACTCTTGTGGCTGATGAATTATTTTCTACTCTATGTCCCCTTTCCCACAGAGGAAACGTCACAAGCCTATCACTATTCTATAACTATTTTCATGCTAAATGTTCAGATGAGCTATGTTAGTTCCACCATCTAGACTACCTCAGTTAGGATCTGCCATGCTATGTACACACTGTTGAATCATTTGCATTCCATTCATATTCCATTAGTAAGGAGGAAGTTTCACTCAGACATCTTCTCCGGTACTGTTACTTTGTAAAACAGATGCCTTCTAGGATGCTTCCCCAATCACTACAATTTTAACCATTATCTATCCTATATATTCTTATAATATGCACTTCTAACGTTCTCTTTTTACACACTTACAATGACCTAATTCAGTAGCCCTCTATCTTCAGTGACACTTGGGCATTGTATTAGGTGGATACTAATATAAGGTGTTTCATTAAGAAGGATCAAAGTCAGCAGTAAATAAATCAGTGTTATTTATTTCTCTATTGGATCATATTATTTAGGTCATGGCAGTTATGTGTGAAATATAATGTTACCCAAATATCCACCAAGGCTTCGATGACACACCTCCATTCAATGGTCAAAATTTTTAATGACATCTCTACATAGTTGCTCCTTGATCCCATCAATATGCCTTATTATCTCATCCTTCAGCTGTTGCATTGTTGTTGGCTTTTTGGCATAGACCTTACTTTTGAGATGACCCCCAAAGGAATAAATCTAAAGCATAAAGTGATACGATCATGGTGGCCAAGTGACTTTGCTGTTTCAAGAGATGATGTGACTTGGGAACTTCTCATTCAAATTCTGTTAATTTTCATAACAGGCTTCATAAAACTTTAACACGTTGTTTGATTGTTAACTTTTCTATGGCTGAAATTGCCAAAGACTTAGGTTGTTAAACCTGAAAGAAAAAGAAAAAAATCATTAGACGCTCAAACTTAATTCACATTTAAAATCAGTCCAGGTTATTGGAACATGCTTTATAAATAAAAACACATTACCAACTCAAAATTGAACTCACTTTACAAGTTTTACAAATTGTTTACCTACAATTTGCAGTATTGTTATGCAGATATATTTCCATTTCCTTGATAAGGCCTTAATTTCTTTAGCTAATTATAAATATTTACTAAGTTTAAGTCAGTCTGGCACAAGGTCATAAAATGGAGCCCTCATTGAAGATTGATCTCACAACAACAATCATGTTATGTGAGATAAGATTGATACATATTACTCTATGATAAAAAAGTATTGGCATTTACCAAGTTTATGTCTGGCACAAGATCACAAATATGGAGCCCTCAATGAAGATTGAATTCATAATGCTAATTATGGTATATGAGCTAAGCTTGTTAGTTTTACTCCATGATAAATCAAATGTGGGAATATACTAAGCTTTGCTAAGTTTGGCACAAGATCACAAATATGAAGCTCTCCTTGAAGATTGAACTCACAACTGTATTCATGGTATGTGAAAAAAAATTTGTTACCTTATTACTCAATGAAAAAAAATATTTGCTTAGTTTAACACTAGGTCGCAAATATGGAGGTATCATTGAAGATTAAACTCACTTTTACCCATAAATATAGGATACCTTAAAAATATATCTTTATCGTTTTATACATATCTATCTATCTCTAATATATATATAGAGTCCACCCCCAAAATGTATACACACTTCTGTAAAGGAAAGACTTGTCTTTCATGGTTTTATCAAATTGTGATAACACTGTTTACTGCAGTATGATATTTTATCAACAGATGGCATTTCATTACATTGGCGGCCGTTAGACAAGAAATTAAAAATGCATATGCAGCAATTCCACTGGTCACTCTGGCCAAGCAGTAGTTGGCCATACTAATAAATGTATAGAAGCTAAAAGCCACCATTTTGAGCATCTCTTGTGATTGTAGAGTTCAAAGTCTGAATTAATAACTCTGTAAATAGACATATATATATATATATATATATATATATATATATATATATATATATGTGTGTGTGTGTGTTTAGAAAAGAAAACACTTGTTCAAACACAAGAAAAATTAAATAAATGTTTAATCACAGTACCTTGTCTGTCATTTTAATGAAACATATATATATATATATATATATATATATATATATATATATATATATATATATATATATATGTGTGTGTGTGTGTGAAAAGTGTGTATATAAAGATAAATAAATATATATATATAATTATTTATATATTATATGCACAGTACTTATTAGAAAGCGCTCAAACTCACATCTATCCAACCAAATATATATATATATATATATATATATATATATATATATATATATATATATATATATATTTATTTCAGCATCCCTCTTGTTGTCTGATGTCTCCTCTTCATCTGTGAGTAAACTACCAACTTAAAACAACTTTTCAACAAAATTATTACTTCAAACAATGCCGAAATAGGTTCATATAAATTTTAAAAGTAATTGGTGACAATTTATTTACTTATATGGTTACATCAAAATTTCTAAATCTGGTTTTATGTTCAGAAATCTTGCAGGTTTGCACCAGAATAACGTCAACTTTTAAAAGCATTACTTCAATTATTATCACCTTGTAAATGATGTATTAATTCCAGAAATCAATTTCAGCAATAATCAATAATCAATAACACAATCAAAAATCCTCAGAACCCACACGATGTCCTGTCATTCATGTGACGCTTATTGAGGTTAAAAAATAATACCATGTTTACATGACATCAAGTTTATTCCAAAAGTTAAAATAAAGAATGAGTCATATTTAAACTTTAAGATAGAATGTCATCACAGGATTTTAAAAAAATGGATTTTGATTCTTGATAATGAATGAAGTCAGTTAAATGATTAAAATATTAAATGTACAGACACTGTTAGTTCCCTCAACAAAATTCCTGAGAACGTGAAATCTGGTCAGTTGCTTCATAGTAAAATCAATTCATCCTATTTACAAGGAATTCCTATAGTAAAATCAATCTATCTTATTTAAAAGGAATTCCTATAGTAAAATCAATCTATCTTATTTAAAAGGAATTCCTATAGTAAAATCAATCTATCCTATTTACAAGAATTCCTATAGTAAAACAATTTTCAATGCATTCCTATAGTGAAATCATTTTTTTTATCATTTTACTGCAATAAAGGCAGTAATGACACTAGAACACAGGGAGTTACAGGGTGTGAAAGTGAAAGAGAATGAAAAGACTGAGGATAGAGAGGATTGAGGAAAGGACAAAAAATGAACAGGGTTCAACAAGATAGAAGATGGTGATTGATGTTGCATTTCAATTTTTGAAGATTGCAGTTATCAGGAAAGCAAGAAATCCGGAAAGGAGTTTCACAGTTGGGAAGTGCAAGAAAAGAAAAAGTAGAAGTAGTAGTTGTATTTAGCTATTTCAACAGTAAAATGGTGGGACCTAACTGCCAATTTAGTAGCATGCTTAAATTTATGTAGTTGGGGGACCAGGGAAAAAAGCTTGTCAGAGCAGTTCCCATGAAATTATTTGTAGAAAAGACAAAAGGATTCCACAACATATTGGTGAGAAAGTGACTGAAATTGAGATGCCAAGTCAAAATTGATTACAT